GATGCCACTGTGCTACTCTGCCACCGTGATGAATGCTTTTCATTTTCCTACAGCTTCCAAAGCACGATGCCCCAACTGAGACTGAAGACATCATCTATGCTGATCTGAAGAGGGAAGCCCCACATACTCAAGAGGAAGCCAAATCCTATGATGGCTCTGAGGACCTAGTCTATGCTGCAGTTTTCCAGCACAACTCAAAGGGAGTCCAGGCTCCGATGGAAGATGACTAACATGGATTTCTAATAATAAGGAGGATTATTTGAGGGCTGAGAGCTAGATTTCCAGGACTCCCTGGATTGGATTGGATCGGCCAGTGAATATCCCTGCATTCATTTCTAGCTTTGCTGTCTTTGAATATGGGTATAGTCAGCCTACACGTCTATATGCATATTTTTTGAGGAGACATTATGCCATACTAAAAGAGGATGCCTTACAGGTTTCTCAGTGTGGTGTGCGAGTGGCTTTGTACTGGAGTGAGATTTTAAATTACAAACAAGGAATACAAGCAATATTTATTTTTTTACCTTTACTAGCAAATTTAGTGCTGGTTCAGCTGTCAGACCTGCCCTTACCTATTTTTTCTTTTTAAGGATTGTATAATATAATTTAGTGATTTAAACGTGCATTTACTGCTGTCTCCTTCTTTAAAAGAAGCTGCTGGTTGTTACAAAACTGTTCTGGGATTGAGAAATAAGGCAGCTTTGTGACATCATGGGTACCAGGCAACAACAGCATCCATAGCTGGCATTGGCTGAAATTGTGCTTTGATGTTTTGTTGTTGTTCTCTTCTGTTGAATGGAAATCTACATCTTTATTAAAAAATATTACAGCCATGACAGAAAGTTCCCTTTGTCTTCTTCCTTAATACATTACCTTCTTGATGAAGGCTACAGAATAACAGACCAGCTATTTCACTTTCAGGAATGGCACAAACTTATGCTTAGTTCAATACATACAACAGGAACAGAAGAAATGTCGGTTGAAAACTTCCACAGTCAGACCTTCTTGTCATGGTATACAGCTGGCAGCTGCTCCTTCCTTCCTTCCTTCTTTTTTGGAGGGGGGTGACGTTTGGGCAAACCTCAAGTTCAATCTTAACTGTTTGTCTTTTTGTTTTTTTTCACCGCTTCCACCTGTTCCAAAAATTCAGATAGATTGATTTTAAAGAAGGAACTGTCACCATTAAAATGACCAGACTCGAGAATTAAAACACCACTCAGCTGGCATCTCATTCTATTGCTATCTTTTACAAATAAATGTTTTTCAAAATTGCAAACATGAAAATGTGGAGCCTTGATCTTAAGACTAGAAAAACGAGAAAGAGAGAGAAACTCAGACTGACATATTGGCCCATCCTTAGTCTCCCTGCACAGTAGGCAGCAACGGAGTAAGAACAAGGAGCCTATAAAGGTGAACTGGCCTTTAAGTTCTTTGGAAGGCTTATTTATCATTCTTTTAGTACAAAGCCAGAATTTTATAATCTGTATTTTCCGTAACCATCAGCAATCTAATCTCAGTAGCACAGAATGGGTTTTGTGAACATTTGTATTTGAAGAGCTGCCTTCCTGAGTCAATGGATATCTGATCACAGGAGATATTTCCTGCTGATTATAAGGGAGCATGTCAGAGGCTCATGAGTTACAGACTGGGTGGTAGATAATGCCTGAGCCCAGTTTCCTGTGTCTTTAGATCAAATCTGGGGACTCAAGAAAAGCAGAGCATTAACAGAGCAGAAGTCAC